TAGAAACGGACAGATCTATTCAGACGAAATGGTCTCTGTAGTACGTTTCATCATTGGATCTCTAACTCAATATCATGTCCTTTTAGAATCAGCCTTTGTCAGTTCTGCATCTTCCATGGATGGATTTTCTCATTCTTCGGGATCTCAGGCGTAGTCGCCTACTTTTTGGCCTTCTCAGTTCCAATCAGATACGACGAATGGACTACTTTGGGATGTTATTCTGTACCTACAATAACTACTGTTTTATGAACCTTTCTGTAAAGCTTCGGGTCTGTGTCAGGTCGGCGACTGATTCCATTGCCCCCAATTTCTTCAACATCTAAACGATAGTGCTTTGATTTATTATTAGTCAGTCGTGATGGCGGCTGTTGAGTTTTTAGCACCCATTGTCTGTCATCTGCTGAGTAATGCAATTTCAACCCAATGATCGGCCGCCAACAATGTAGTTTAACTGCTAATAAACGGATGGGAAATAATAAAGTAATTGTAGTTTTCTCTTCTCGATTCGCAAACGAAACAAATCTTGAATGGCAAAAGAAACACAACGCTTTAGAGATATCTATAGAATCTCCAGTCTCGCCAATCTTAAAGCACACACGTGCATCTAAACGTCTTAACCAAGGACATGGACACTAGAAAAGAGTACTAGATCTACTTGTAAAAACTAAAGCCCACCATTTGTGTTCCATGGGACGCACTCGTAAAACCAGAGCCCCCCCCCCCAAGCAAAACAGACTCTAACGATAGAACCAAACACTCATTCATAACCAAGATAACGTCACTTCTACATTAACCATTTCACACTTCCCAATTCCCTCCCTTCCATACTGTCCTTCAAAATCGTCTTCTATACTCACAATATCCAACCACTCCACATCACCACCCTCAGTAGACACCCAGAGCATGCTAAGAAATGGAATTTGACGATTTGTGTGAATACTACGATAGTCATAAACTCAAATACTGTAACCCCCCCCCCTCCCAAAATTTTGTTTAAAAAAAGAATAAAA